CTCCAGGTAGGGCCGGAGGGGTGCTCGGGCTCTGAGCACCAACTGCTCCCCCCGACGCGGGGCGGGAGGGGAGGGCGGCACAGGTGCCTCTGCCAAGGTTCTGAATGGCAGAGGCTTTCCAGGTTCACGTGAGTCTTAGGACCTTCCTTTTGTATTGGTATGGTAATGTTTATTTTACATAAAAACAATAAAAGGTAAGTACAACGCAGCCCAGAAACGTTTGAATTTCAGTAGAAATGACGGGCTTTCTTGAGTTAAAAGGTAAGCTCAAATATACATTTTTAAAAATTTTATTCAGTAAATCTTTTGGTGGAGGATGGCCCTGTCTCAGGCCCTTGAAGGCCATAATTACTGGGCCAGAGGTTGCCAGCGCAGTGGGCTCTGTTTGGCACAGTGAAATGGGGAGGAGGGTTCCCGGAGTCCCCCTCTCCCTACCCTTTGTCTTTCCTTTTTTTTTTTTTTTTTAATCTTCACCGAGGACATTTTTTCCACTGCTTTTTAGAGAGTAGGAGGGAGAGAGAGATAAAGAGAAAAAAAATCGATGTGAGAGAGGCACATCGGTTCGTTGCCCCTCACAGGCACCCCACAGGGAATGGGGCCTGCAACTGAGGCATGTGCCCTGGATGGGAATGGAGCCCGAGACCCTGCAGTCCTTGGGCCAACTCTCTACCACTGAGCCAAACCGGCTAGGGTTCTTTGCTTGTTTTGAAGCTCTGCTGTTGCAGTCTTGAGATTCTTCATAGTGTTTAAACAAACAAGGGGCTCCACATTTTTACTTTGCAGTGGGTCCCACAAATTACATAGCTGTTTGGTATTTCCTTCTGGGGTCTTGCTAGGGAGCAAGAGATACAGTCCCTGCACCTTCCTGCTCTCCAAACACAGTAGACTTTTCCATCGTCCTGGATGTGCTAAGAGACTACAGATATTTTAACTAAATAGCGACCATTGGACAAATTAAAAGTAGTTTGAACATACCTCAAATGTAGTACACCTAAAGAGCAAGCACACTTATTTGGAGAGCCACAAGCGCTCCAAAGAGAGTAAAAGTTTCACCTTGAGTCAAGGAGAAACTGGTGGTTTACCCTAGTTTTGTGCTGATCACAACCATGAACTTTGTGGATATGGATTGGGCTTGACCCACCTTTGATGCTGAGTGCTGTTGTATAGCAGTGGAAAGGACACTAAATGGAAGGAATCGCTGGGTTCTGGTTTTCTCCTGGCAGCCTGGAGACCCTTTTAGCAATTGGTTTTAGCAAAAGTGAATCTTTAAGCATTTCTTCTGTTTCTTTATAAAACAGGGATAGCAAGGCCTATGTTGTCTTTCTCAGTTTGTTTGTTTTTTAAATATATCTTTATTGATTTCAGAGAGAGGGAGAGAGAGGGAGAGAGAGAGATAGAAATATCAGTGATGAGAGAGTCATTGATGGGCTGCAGCCCCAACCCAGGCATGTGCCCTGACTGGGAATCGAACCCGATCTCCTGGATCCTAAGTCAATGCTCAGCCACTGAGCCACGCCCGGCTGGGCATCTTTCTCAGTTTTTGAGGCCATTGAGAGTCTATGAGAAAGCATTGAACACAACAAGATCTCATTGGTCTCGAAATCCCCGTAAAGCTAAGGTGTCTACCCAGTTCTCACCTTTGGCCATTGTTGCTTTTTTTCCTAGAGCTGAAAGAGATCCCACTCAGCCATTCCTGGACTTCTGGGAACACAGACATTTGTCCATATCAAAATTATCCACTCAATGGGCACCTCTTTAGCTCCACTCTCCAGTTTCAGAAAGCCCAAATGGCAAGGTGGCAAGTGAGGTGATTATTAATTTCTGTAGGTAGGCAAGCAGAATTGGTGCCATCCTTACTCATTCACCCAGTTCCCTGCTAAACAGCAGTGAATGACTGGCCCCACCCTCTAACCAGGCAGCCAGAGGAGCTAAGAAAAACATTCAAGGTCCAGAATTCACCAGGTCCCCATTTGGATGCCCTGGTGCCACATGCCAGCAGGTTTTTAGGTTCTCTGAGCCTTGGGTTCAGTGTCTGTAGTGTCAGGATAATACCCACAAATAGGGTCGCTGGGAAGATTATCCAGTGAAGGTACTGTGTTAACCACACTGCAAATGGGAAATTAATGGCAAGCCTTCCTTCTTTCTAGGCAGCTGCATTTCTAAATGCTACCCCCTCCACTCCCAGTGCTTCATGTTCCTCTAAAGAAAACCTTTTCGTTTTCTTTTGCCTTGTTCGTTACCAAAAAGGGGCCTTTTGACGGAAATGTTCCTAGCAGCTCACCTCTTGGATCTCCCCATCAATTACTAGCTGTACTCCTGCCGCTTCACAGGAGAAATGGCATATTGGGCGAATAACTCGGATGTTTATTGATCTGAATATCAGGGCGTTATCAAAGTCTACTGGATTGTTACCAGAACAGGGGTTATCACGGACTTGGGGCTTTAATTTAATGACATTACTGAAAGAGCTAAACACCCACATCCCTGTCTCTTCCCCACAACCTCCAAAACCGGGGAAAGCGGCTCTGAACACGGTCAAATCAAGGGTGTTGACTCAGAGCGAGACAGGACAGCTTCAGAAGTAATGCCCATCTACCCACAACTTCTCGCCAACGTAGCGGAGCCCCAGCAATCCCACCCCCCGCTACCAGCCTCTCAATCCCGAGTCCCGGGTGGGGCAGCACCCCCACTTGGGTCCTTCCCGCCGGCCGCCCGGAAAACCCGGAGCGCGGAACCGGAGCGACCCTCGGTGGCCCCGGGACGGGCATGCTCAGTAGACCCGCAGGTCTGGTTTTACTCCGAAGCCGGTCACGGCCCCCGCTCCCTCCCACCCCGCACGGGAGCCGGGAGAAGCGGACATTTTATCCTTCTTGGCAATCCGCCGTCTTTCGTGCCCTTCGTCCCCTCTCTGCGTCCTCCCACTTCTCGCCCATCGGGGTCTGGTAGGGCCGGGGTGTAGATCTCCCCGGAGTGGGGGTGGCGGGGTGGGATCCGACAAATCACTCACCCCTACCCCCACCAGGAGCGCGCGTGGGGGGTGGGGGTGCGGGGTGACTTGGAGGGGACTCTCCCCTAAGGTGTGTGCGGCCCAGTCCGCAGAAGCCCCCCCCCCC